CTTTATTAAAAATGATAATAACATGTTTATCCTTTAGGTGACCGGCCTACGTCTGGATTCTTATTTAAAGGGTCGATCTGGACTATTTTGGAGAATAAATCTGCTTAATTAAAATCTTATACCTTTGGGCCGAGCAACTAACTCAATATACGTGATACGTTTTCATCTTAAACCCGTCGTTTACTATATAAAAACAGGAACAGCATATTTGGTATGGCTGAACCCCACCCCACCCCTTTTGAAAAATCATGTATCCATCCTTGTGAACAGCTTCGTTCTGGACAAAATACCTCGTTCCAAAAACATGGCAATTTTAAAACAAAAATACGTTTTGGAACTTCGGAAAAACGTGTCATTTTGTTTTTACCACGTTAGAACCTGGCAAAATTGTGGCAAAAATTTTAACACGTTTTTGCCACATTTGGACAAAAATGCCGAACGAGGCATTCTGAGGTTTATAGTGTTACAACAAGATAAAGAATAAGAAAATTACAACAAGAGAAATGATAAGAAAATTACAACAAGAATAAGGAAATTACAACAAGAGAAAGAATAAGCAAATTACAACAAGATAAAGAATAAGCAAATTAGAGCAAGATAAAGAATTGGCAAATTACAACAAGTTAAAGAATTAGCAAATTAAAACAAGAGAAATAATACGAAAATTACAATAAAAGAGGTCATATCATATCGGGAGGTCATATCGGGTCTAGCATATGGTTCAGTTTTATTTTAATAATTCCCTTGAGCGTAGGGGTCTTTAGCAGTTGGAGGAAAGTGGAGAATCCGAACAAAACCCAGTAGGCTGGACAGGCGACTTTACTCCTTGTCACGTACAACCGGGGATTCGAAACCACGCCAGTTGACTAAATGACAGGCCTTATGATACACTAACTAATGGTTTAATGTCCTACTTTTCTGCTCCGAACTGAGCATACGCCATACAGTGTGCTATGGCCTACTCTTATATCGAATCCCAACTGTCAAGGGAACTTTTACGTGCACGCCAATGTGTACACGCCACCTCGGTTTTTCGTCCCACCCGAATGACTAGACAACTGTCCTTGTCACATGTATAGAGACCGAAGCAATAGGACATGGTTCTATAGGAACAACCTTTAAAAATAAATGTGTTTTCAATTTATTTATTTATTCATAATAAAACCAGTGATGCGATATATAATATCACGAGGTAATATTATTCCATAAAAAGAAAACGAATATTAGAACTATCCAAATCATTGTAAAATGTCTCCATCCTCCACCTGACTTTTACCTTTTACAAAAAAAAATCTTATAGGATGAATAACTTGGAATAATTGATGAAATAATTCGTGAATTGTCGGGAAACGAGAAATATATTAAGCGATTAGACAGTCAATATATCTATTGGTGTACGGTGACGTGGAAATGATCCGAGACGTGCTTCTACCGGTTACAGAGAAAAACAGTTTTCGTGAATTATTTATATTTATCAAAAGTCAATTCTGAAATGAAATTGATCTTAGAATGCCAATCCATCCTGCCGTTAAGAAAACAAGCCTCGGCTATTTGCTCAAGCCACAGAATTCGGTGGGCGAAATAGTAAATGGTAGGGGAACACAATAAAATCCAGTGGCGAAATAGTAAATGGGGGAGGGCAAAATCCAGTGGTGAAATAGTAAATGGTAGGGGAACAAAATCCAGTGGCAAAATAGTAATTATAAGAGGTACAAAATCCAGTGGTGAAATAGTAAATGGCAGGGAAACAAAATAAAATCCAGGGGCGAAATAGTAAATAGTAGGGGTACAAAATCCAGTGGCGAAATAGTAAATGGGAGGGGTACAAAATCCTGTGGCGAAATAGTAAATGGGTGGGGTACAAAATCCAGTGGTAAAATAGTAAATGGTAGGAGAACAAATCCAGTGGCGAAATAGTAATTAAAAGGGGTACAAAATCCAGTAGGGAAATAGCAAATGGTAGGGGGACAAAATAAAATCCAGTGGCGAAATAGTAAATGGGTGGGGTACAAAATTCAGTGGCGAAATAGTAAATGGTAGGGGAACAAAATCCAGTGGCGAAATAGTAATTAAAAGGGGTACAAATCCAGTGGCGAAATAGTAATTGTAGGGGAACAAAATAAAATCCAGTGGCGAAATAGTAAAGAGTAGGGGAACAACATCCAGTGGAGAAATAGTAAATGGGAGGGGTACAAAATCCAGTGCGAAATAGTAAATGGGTGGGGTACAAAATCCAGTGGCGAATTAGTAAATGGTAGGGGAACAAAATCAAATCCAGTGGCGAAATAGTAAATGGTAGGCGTACAAAATCTAGTGGCGAAATAGTAAATGGGAGGGGTACAAAATCCTGTGGCGAAATAGTAAATGGGTGGGGTACAAAATCCAGTGGTAAAATAGTAAATGGTAGGAGAACAAATCCAGTGGCGAAATAGTAATTAAAAGGGGTACAAAATCCAGTAGGGAAATAGCAAATGGTAGGGGGACAAAATACGTATGCATGGCTGAGCTGAGTGTAGTTCTATTACAGCATAACGGCAGATATCTACCAAGATCACCATCAGTATTAGTCAAGTACCTAGCCTACAATTTCCCGAAGGTAGTAAAGTCGTCCGATGTCGCTGAGCTATTAAAAAAAATCAATGTCGAATCTTATTACACATCTTCGACTTCAACTGACAGCAATTTTGGGTTTCACTAATAATGTACCATTTCAGAAAGTTTATACCCCTTTACCATAGAAGAATAAAATCATCTACAGATTTGCAAGGTCCACCTCCCTAAATTTATCGCGTAGATCAAGCAGCATGCAGACAGACACACACATAGGAAAAATATGAAAATTCCGATAAAAACCCATAAAAAAATGATTAAATTTCAGTCTTTATCATGGTTAAAATCATAGCAAATATACACATTCGTGTTCTAGGATACACATTGATTGATAAAAACGCTATGATACAACATTCCGGGGTTTAAAAGTAGCAAAAAGGACGGTAAAATGATGACAATGTTATACGGACCTTTGCCGTATGGAATCTGTTCGATACGTGCTGTCGTATCCGTTCTCCGTATTACGTATGAGAAATACACACACATTGATGACGTCACACACAAAATCCAAACGGATACGCGATACGCTTGCCAAAAGTCTCTATTGTACAAGTACTCACCCGTGTTACAAGCTAATAAAGTAGATGAAGCACATCAAAGAAAAACAATTTATTTTTAATTGGTGTGATATTGGATTAATGTCCACGCGCTGATATTGTATATCAGGTGACTTTTGATATACACGGACGATTTTATTTTGTTTCTACCAATTTTCAACCCATTAAGTGTAAATTATTTAATTAAATCAACCTGCCATTATATTATATTTCATGTATTGGACGTTAAATCGTTAATAAACAACAACATATTTCATTATCGTTTGTCAAAATGTCCGATACGTGTAGGGGGGTTGGATGGCCGGATGGTTAGCACGTGCGCGCTGTATCATAAAGCCTGTCATTGAGTCAACTGGCGTGGTTTCGAATCCCCGGTTGTACGTGACAAGGAGTAGGGTCGCCTGTCCAACCTCGTGGGTTTTCCCCGGGTCCTTCCGATTTCCTCCCACTGCTAAAGACCCCTACGCGCAAGCGAATTATTGAAATAAAATTAAACCATATGTTAGTACCGAAATGACCTAGTTTGTGTCGAGTGGACGATAAACCCCATTCCTCTCCCTCTCTCCGATACGTGTATACATAGTTTGCCATTCTTTAGTTCGACCAAGGCAGGGGGCTGTAGTGTGTGGCGGCTGTGAAAGATAGCAGCATAGAACCTGCGATACTGGTATCTACATTTCATTGTTTGATACAAATCTAGACAATGTAATCGCAGTTTAAGACATTAAATTTTTACTAAAAACTAAATTACATTTAGTTGCTTAATACAAATCTAGACAACGTAATCGCAGTTGGTAAAAGAGTTTCAATTTTTTGTAGAATGTTTTTAATATATTTTTCAGATATATCTAGACATCGTTATCGAAGACTGGTAAAAGAATTAACTATAAAATATTTAATAAATTGTTGATGTAATAAATATGAATATTTGTTGTTATGCACTTACCCGTAGCTCACATCTAGTAAAGAAGACATTATTAAAATATGTATAGATTCACCTTTTAATTATTCGTCTATATCTATTGTGACACCTAACCGTTAAGAACTAAATTAAAACTCAAGATGCTGACTTTCAAGACAGACATAGAAAATGTACCTGGATAGTATACACAACACAAAAAGAAGTTTCCATGCTTTATTATTTTTGTTTTCCAGGTCCATTATTTTTTTGGAAGTCACCTACAGAGGAAGCTGTTATATGGCGAGTTAGTAGCATATGTTCGTGTACTTAGCCTATTTATTGTTCTTGGACATCCAGGTGCTTAAACCTATAAATACCACCCAATGTAAAGCTACGAAACGGAACGAAATGCAATGAAGTGTGCTATGAGGGAAATTTTACCAGGGCAGTGGCATTTCCGCCAACTCCTCATTCAATTCCCAAAACAAAGGATACTTTTACGTGCACGCGAAAGCGCAAACGATTGGATCTCGATTTCTGTTCTATCCGTATAATTCAATGCTTTACCTAATTAGAGAGAGAGAGAGAGAGAGAGAGAGAGGGAGAGAGAGAGATGGGGTTTAACGTCCACTCGACTCAATCTATGGTTCAATTTAAATCCAATAATTCGCTTGTGCGTAGGTGTCTTTAGCAGTGGGAGAAAACTGGGGAACCCGGAGAAAACCCAAGAGGTTGGACAGGCGACCCTACTCCTTGTCACGTACACCCGGGGAATCAAAACCACGCCAACTGACTCAATGACAGGCCTTATGATACAACGAGCACGCGCTAACCATTTGGCCATCCAACCGCCCTTTCCCTTATTAGGCTCGCTGTTATGCACCAAGAGATTACGAAACAGACATGTACACATATGTGGGACAAAGCCCATGTTAGTCTTTATAAATTATTCCATAACCTTTCAGGACATCGTACTCACTGGATAATTTTAGATCTTTATGCAGACATACAGCGATCGCCAATACAAACATGTAAATAATAGCCTCCATAAGGTAGGCGGCACAAGCAAAAACATGAATGGTAGCTCCGTATACATAGTTGAAAACAATGGAACCGATCACTTTTGACGCCGTTTCAGCACAGGCCAAAACAGCGAAGGCCTTCCCCATGTCACTATCATCCACATTCTTACTGACTAAAGATCGCACTGCTGATATGATCATTCCTCCTACAGCTCCAATAAGGACTGATGCAAATACCATCCACGACTGGTAGCAGAAGCCCGCCCATAGAGAACGCACGACCTTACAACATACACCAATGATTACAATAACTGTATCCGGTACTTTACCGTAGGTTGATAACACTGGGGTCAAGATCATGAGAGTTGCTCCCATAACAGTGTAGTCCAGGGCGAGGAGATATCCATACCAGGGCGTCGGCCACTTCAGAGGATGCTTCTTCACGAAGAGCACAGTGACGTCCTGGTCACCGACTTTACACGTCTGGTTCATCAGCGCTATGAAGACTAATGTTGTAAAGACTCTTGTGGGGTTGACCTTACTTACTGTAAGATGAACCGTAAGAGATTCACGCAATTCCGTGGGAGTACACACCCTACACAGACTACCGTATCTCCTTTCTGTGGAAGTAGTCGGATCTGCGTTGTTGATGAAACCAATAGTGGTCAGCACACTGAATGCATGAAGGAAACATACTACAGTTAATGTTGTTTGAAGGTCAGTGTAGTCCTGAAGTGCACCCGAAAGCAGCGAACCCACGAACAAACCAAAATAGTTCATAGCCAATAAACGACTTAGTGATCCGGTTCGGTCGTCTTTATCCGTTATGTCGGAGACATAACTATTCACAGCCGTGGTTATAACCGAACTCTTACCAAATATTCCTTGAACTGCGGAGCCGCACAAAATCAACACAAGATTCCAGTCAACGGACTGTAAACTGCCTACGTATAACAGAACCGTCAACACGGAACCTAAACTTGGGATCATCATTGGTAGCTTCCGACCATGACGGTCACTCCAAGCTCCCCACACTAGACCCAGTATAATGGCAGGAACGTTAACTAGAATTCTATAGTAGATCAGATAGTTGGACGCTGTGCTCTGTATATCCTCTTCTTGTGCTCGCGACTGAATCGACGCATCGTAACAAATCGTCACATTATCACGATATCTGTTACGACAAACAGCTTGGATGATGTATGGGCGAATGGTAGCATCTAACATCGACTCCCCTGCTTTGTACAAGAAAAACACCAAGCCAGCAAAAACTGTCTGCTTGGGACAAAAGCTAAAGACCATGATGCTCAGGCGTTTGTAAAAATGTCAAACTTCGGGCTAGACTCTTCAAATAAACCGCTCAGAATATCCTTTGTCCTCTGAAACTTATAATTCGCTGATAATAACGAACCTACACATGGCTGGGAGACGACTAAAAAACAAACAAGGATATTCTGCAACACGTGATAGTTCTCTTATAATACTCCCACACAGGAGTCATGAAGCATGATCCGTATTGTTAAATCTAATTCAAACCCTGAAAATAAACAAAGATTTAACAAATGAATTAAACAAATTCCCCATGGATCGTTTCTGAATAGAAATCAAATTTCAGGACTTTCAGGGTGAGAAGTCAATATAACTAGATATGTTGAAACAGTGTGAACTTCATTGCAAATGATATTAATAAAAGATTAGATAACAAACTGAAAATTATGGCTATAACACTATAAACCTCAGAATGCCTCGTTCGGCATTTCTGTCCAAACGAGGCAAAAACGTGTCAAAATTTTTGCCCCGTTTTTGCCTCGTTGTAACGAGGTAAAAGAAATTACCTCGTTTGTCTGGAGTTCCAAAACGTGTTTTTTTTAAATTGCCCTGTTTTTGGAACGAGCTATTTTGTTCAGAACGAGCCTGGGTAAAATTGCCTCGTTTACTAAACGAAGTATTTTATCCAAGATAATTATTAGCGGTATTTGCTGTCAACAAATAGAGCAATACAAATAATGTTCGGACCATCATGTGACCAATTGCAGATCTACAAATTAGATTATTTATTTGGGACATGATATTGTTCATAGTTATGGCTTACTACACTGGAGTTCATTGTGTATAATAAACGCTTCCCAAGCGAAACAAAACATAACAATGTCACGTGACAATATTACATATGGCGGATACAAGCGTTCTTTGATTACATGCTGTTTGGTTTGATTATAAAACACCATTCGGTTCGCTTCACGGGTTAACGGCATATTAATAGCTTTATTCACCGAGATGGTTCCTTTACTTGTGGTTTATTTTCGAATTGGTTTTTGTATTTTGTATTTATTTACAGAGGTTAGTCAATCCGTGAGAAAACCATGCAAAACCCTGCAAAAGTGATAAGGTGGGGGGTCAGCGGATCACATTCATATTCATATGATCAAGTCACCCACTCACAACTACCAAAACGCCAAAACCTCGGATCCAAAATTTCAACCCCCTCTTAGATATGGCCTTATGTCGATTTTTAGTCATTTTGGGCGAATTTTCGGTGAAAATTTGTCATATTTCAGCTATGAAATTCTACTAAAAGCATCAGGTTAGTGATTATGTCCGATTGTGGATGGATAGTGGGGGTCGGCCCCTAAAAACCCAACATGAAAGACCGACCCAATATCACAGTCTTTAGCCGCTGGGGGGGGGGGGCGTTTTCTGGATACCACTTTTCGCATAGTGAAATGTACCCAATCGTTGAGGGGCTATATCTCGTCTGCAGCAGGGGGTGGTCGAAATCGGGGGTATGTATTTTGAGGCGAGTATATGTCCTAACAATATCAACAATAAAATCCACGGCGCTAGTCTACAACATAGCGAATCTTTGATGAGAAGATTGCCGATTTCTGGATTCCTGACAATAAACTGATATTCAATGAAAGGATTCTAGGAGGCCTCAACACTTATAAAGTGCTCTAAATGCCCTATATATCACGGCATTTCGGATGAAAAATATTTCGAACGTTCCGCCACCCGCTCTAGCAAAACAGACACGGTTGATTTTAGCTTGGTGTCCAACCTCAAATCCAAGATGGCTGCCATGGAGGAGAAATGCGATTTTTCTCAATATTTTGAGTCAAAATGTGGCATTTATGATGCGTATCCTGCAGAGAAAGATCACAAGCGGGTAAAAGACTGTAGGAAAGATATCAAAGATTATCTGGCGAGCATATATCAAATAGAAAAGTAAAAGCCGGTTGGGCTCTGAAACAAACTAAAACCATCAAGAGATTTTCTGATGAGATAAAGGAATTCTTATTGAAGGAATTCATGCGTGGGGTAGACACTGGTAGGAAAGGGGTTCCTAGCAACGTTTCTAAGAAACTGAGATCTTTGTTTCCGAAAGAAAGCTGGTTATCAGCCAAACAGGTGACCAGTTACCACAGTAGATTAGCTGCCCGTCAAAAAGCTGGTCATCCTCTAGCAGTCTCATCAGCGCCATCTGAAATTGATGATGAGAATGAAATTGCCGCCACCGAAACAACGAATAGGCGACGACTTCGTTCTAAAGTAAGAGAACAATGTGAAATTTGAGTAGTTCATATAGTTACAGAACTATTGTCATCTTTATCTTAATGATTTGTTGTCACTTGCTGCCATTGTGTATTATTATAATACAACAGTGTCATCTGTTGGTTTGACTTCATTGGTGCTAACGCCCTAAACTTAACCGCCCCTAACACGATTGCCATTTTGGAGTTTTGTGATCCTGAGGTTCCTGATCATGATGTTCGTTTAATGTATGCATACGATTTGTTTATCTCTCTGTTGAATGATGAACTCTCCGTGTCATCTTATAGTTACGTCTTCGCCGCGAAGCGCATTCAGTGCGATTTGACCCAGATCAAAGCACAGAGCACATAACTAGAGAGCAGATTTATAGTGGGAAAAGGTGAGGCAAAATTGCGACAAAATTTACAGGAAACGGAAATAAAAATTCAATGTCCACGTCGCGCTCGTGGTGCAATTTTCTGCCACATTGTGGGCCATGTGCTCTGTGGTCCGCAACGAGGCAGAAAATTCCACCACGAGAGCGACGTGGACATTTAATTTTTTTTTCCGTTTCCGGTAAATTTTGTCGCAATTTTGCCTCACGTTTCCCCACTATATATCTGCTCTCTAGTTATGTGCTCTGTGGATTAAAGGAAGCCGTCGCTCAGATGTTGCTGGAGACAATCTATTCAGTCTCCAGTTCCGGCTTCTTTTGATCTGGGTCATATCAGGTGGCGGCGATAACGGAACTGACAAGAAGTGTTCATCAATCATATAATATACTGTGGATATGATGGCTGATGGGACATTTGCTTTCGTGTCTTATTATTGTATTTGTCACTTTTGTATTGAATTCTATTCTAAATCTCTCACGATTAGATGAACATACTAATTTGAACGATAAATTATAGCATAATAGTATCGAGTGAGGTGATTGTTCTCGGGCATAGGAATCAAATCCTCAAAATACGGTATTTCGCTATACTACTCATGTTAGTAAATTCATACTCTATACTTACTAAATCCTATTTCTAGATCTAAAAACTTTTTAAAAATATTTTTTTATAAGTGATTGTCGTGTAAAAAATAAAATCCCTTTCTTTGTTTGCAATTAAAAGTTCTGAATTGGAGCTTACCAGATGAGTCGCATCATTTCATTATTCATAAATACTGTAGCACCACGAGTCTTTCTGTCTAACGTGGAGAGCGGGCGTAAATGTTGGAAAACCGGTCGCCACATCCTACGTACGACCCATGCATCTTTTCTTACTACATATTTCTGTAACCTTGTGATCGTCTAGGATTTGTCTCTGTCTTTACTTCTGCTTCACGTATTGGGTGAAAATTATAAAAATCAAATTATATTAAAATTGACTTGAGTGAAAATTATAAAAAACAAATTATATTAAAATTGACTTGGGTGAAAATTATAAAAAACAAATTATATTAAAATTGACTTGGGTGGAAATTAAAATTGACTTGGGTGAAAATTATAAAAAACAAATTATATTATTTTTCATGTCCCTTATCAGCCACCGTAGTATTGGTCTGTTCCAGCTACCATAGTATCAAGTTGAAACTTTCTATTTTTCTTCTAAGTATGATTGGGTTGTACAATTTTATCCGTCAATCAAACACGTCATTGCCTTCAGACCAAGAACTAACTATTCCTAAATCTTTATTTTGATATTAGTCTAACATTATTATTTCGAAAGAGTATTTGTAAATCTTACTCTTAATTAAAATTAAATTTTATTTAATTATTAAATAAACTTTGATGTGTCTCTTTAATTATAAATCTTCAAACTTACTTTAACCTCTTGACCTGAACTCGATCAGTAATTTTATAATTGCGTTTCTGTTTTATAATTTCCGTTTCTGTTTTAGAATTCCTACATTGTTATTTTATATTTCACCGTCAGTAATGTGACCTTTTTGACCTAATCATTATAATCCACCATTTTGTATGTTAGTCAAAAACCAATACATGAAACAGGCCACGTGTTACCTATTCCATCATTAGTATTACCTAACACGTTATTTAGAATAGAACTTTGTTGAAGGAAATGGTTGCGCACCCATTCCCCCAAACACCATTCTACATTTTATAACCATGACAGTTAGAACATAGCTACATGTAACTGTTAATAACACATATAGCGTACTATATCCTATATATACTATTCAAAAAAAGTAGGGGATATTTGATTTTGGGGGCATAATACTAAAATATGCAAATGACTACGAAAAAAGTCACTATAGAACCTAACAGAAGAAACATTTCCAGTTACATGTGACGCCCAAACGCACCAATAGCTACCGCATGGAATGCAGGTGATGCTTGGGATCATCATGGGGGTCCAACCCAAGATTTGCACGACTCTGACTTTGAATGTTACAGTCATTGTGGCATTGAATTCCAGGGTGGAAACATCAGTTTAATTGTTTTAGTGACCAGAAAACAAATTTTGATATGCGTCGGCTTACCCAAAATGAAAGGTTACGTGCCCTTGGCATGCTACAGATCGGCACAACACAGGCGGTTGTGGCGCGGACGATGAATGTTTCTCAGTCTGTCATAAGCAGGCTATGGTCCAGATACCGTGATACACAATCTGTACAGGACAGACCACGCTCAGGTCGACCAAGGGCGACAACTCAAGCCCAGGATCGATTTATCCGTACCTTGGCCTTGAGAAATCGTGTCATCACAGCAAATCAGATCAGCGCTCGTCTTCAAACAGACACTGGTGTGAGAGTGAGTGGCCAGACGATTCGGAATCGACTGCATAGGGGTCACCTTCGGGCCCGACGTCCTCGCGTGATCCCTTGTTTGAGAGATCATCACATTCAGGCAAGACGTCGTTGGTGTAGGGATCGTCAACACTGGGATAATCGACGCTGGAGCAATGTGATGTTTTCAGATGAGTCAAGGTTCACTGTTGATTTTTTGGACAGACGTAGGAGGGTGTGGCGTCGTCGAAACGAGCGCTTCCAAG